TGGCCTGGAATGTTCTCCGGATGCAATGACGTCTGCTCACCATTCCGACGTCATTCTCCACCTCATGGTTCGACCAACGTGGTTCGAGCAACGTGGAGGATTACGTCACAGTAGTAGGACGGGTAGACGGAGGCTGTAGCAGGCCAAAACAATCACAGAGCCCAGTCATCCTGAATTTGTCATCAGAAGTAAAAGATAGACCGATCTAGCACTTATTTGCCCTCCTAATGAAAACAAAATGATCCCTGTCCAACCTGCAATGTTGTTAAGTCTGGGAGTCCGGCTGCAATGACGTCTGCTCACCGTTCCGACGTCTCTCTCCACCCCATGGTTCGATCAGCGTGGTTCGAGCAACGTGGAGGATTACATCAGAGTAGCAGGAAGGGTAGACGGAGGTTGTAGCAAGCCAGATCATTCACAGAGCCGATTCCACTTTCCAGTCTCTAGAATTAAAGTCTAGACCGATTAAGCACTTATCTGCTCTTCTAATGAAAACAAACTGATGCCTGTCTGGCCTGGAATGTTGTCAAGTCAGAGCGTCCGGCTAAAATGACGTCTGCAATGACTGCAGTCAGATACCAATAGTTTATTCAATTAGGAAGAGGATGGCTTCTTTGGAAAAGTCGAATGTGTAAATGTTCGAGACAGAATCTCCCGCTCCACTTCAGACCTGAGAATATGTGTAACAAACAATTTTTTGTTAGTCCGAAGACGAGCTGGGGAACCAGACTCAAAAATTCACTGATTAAAGTTACCTTTATATCCCAAAGAACATTTCCTTCTTGAAATTAACAATTTAAACGTCCAGAAAAATCAATAATCATCTGACGTGACCACCAATTGGCAACTGTGGATTATGTTAGTCTGCGCCAGTAGGCGTAACATGCATTTCGTCATTCCATCGTGGTTGAGCGCGCGTTTTGAGCTAAGCCTCGATGTAATTCTAACTGGCGTCCAAATTGATATGCCTGTTGATGCACACCTCGTCTGAGTGCATCGCCTCCAGGAATTGACGGTATTTTCTAGTTGGATAAGTGCCAACAATCCGTGTGTTCTCCATAGCGAATTTTTGGCCAGTTTCCAGTGTGTGCATGGCCATCTGGGATAAATGGTCTCATTTTCCGACCGCAGCTTTATGTTGGTGTATGCGAGTTGAGGCGCATTTCCCCGTTTGGCCACACACTGGACGGAGGCCTTATTCCGAGCCAGTTCTTACCTCCTCACAGTAGCAACTCGGAGCAATCGTCTAGGTGGATCTGGCTAGTCACATTCTCGCTAACTCGGTAGGTGCGGCAGTGATCTGGGATCTAAATCGACAAGAAAACGAGCCCATGGTTCAATTATTAGAGCGATTGACTTCTGATCAATAGGTCACGAATTAAAACTTCGGCTGCTGCGCCATCTGAGGGTGCGTATAGCTGACTGATGATGGCTACTACGCCAGAAATGGCCATCTCAGTCTCTTTTGACTTTGTCAGCAATGCTTAACTAGCTTCATTACTACAAGTTGCTGTGCGGCTACGGCTGGTGTTTGAGAATGAGTCCCTAGGCAGAACGGGACGGATGAGTTCCATAAGAGGTCGCTGAGCTTTCAGCAACAATTTCAAATCCATCAGATCTCCAGTGATTTAGAGAGCTTCCTCAGTGATAATTGCTTCTTCCTCTTCAACCAAAAACAGAGGACATGGTGGACTGTCTTATCGGAGAAAATGTCAACACCAGAGGAGACATCGAAGATGATTTCAACAGGAAGGAGAGGATCTTCGGTGAGCCCATTTTGGGAACAATGAACACAAAATGAGCATCTTTACCATGCTGAATCGGAATCATTGTCGATTGCGTTATCAGTTCATGTGGGTCGCTGGCAAAGGACCCCTCCGGGATGACTTCCTCGTGGCTAATCGTAATAATATAATGCCGGGCTGGTCGCTGGCCCCCCTTTCCAGCTCGATCTCCGACGATGTCCACAGAGAGGAGCTAGGCAGCGTACTCGCTATCACTCTCTTCAATACCACGTGCTCTGCCGCTCTGTTCAATGCCCTCTGATTCGCATCGCCTACAGGAATGACTACAGGACTGCATTCCCATCGCGCAGATATACGACTACTGTCCACGACTTATCTTCGCGTACTTGTAGTTGTTTTTGATATGGCTGTGACCATATCTGATCTTGCAGACCTCAATGATGTTATGGACCTCTCCACGTGTGGCAGTTATTGGCTATGGATCTGGAAAGCTCCAATCATGAATAGAAGCGAATATGCGTGCGCCAGGTTCTTGTTGTAAAGAAGAGAAAGTCGCGATCTCTGGAACGATAGTTTTATTCTGAGATTTCGGCTCCACACGAGAA